ATGCCTTGCCAAGCTTGTTCTAAGTAGGTGCTTTAGACCACTGAGCCATCTCTCCAGCCCCCTTTGCTCAATGTCTTTAGCTGTTGCCACATGCTCTCTGGAGGTGGGGTGACCACAGAAATAAAGGAGGAGCCAGTGGCCTAGGGATTGAGGGAGTGCCTTCCAGATCAGCAAGCAAGCAGCTTTGGAGATACAGACTAAACTTTGAAGGGCATGAAGCATTGGAAGCTGGGCTCTACCCCCAGCCTGAACACTGGCAATGCTAGTCTGCCAAGGAGGTTCTTCCTAGAAAAGGAGTCCAGACCTCCCCCTCCCCCTGGAAGGAACAACACATAGGATAAGCCCAAGAACTCGGCTGGTGGACATTTGGGCTGGGAGGCATGTTCTTTGCTCTTCCCTCTGAGCACAGGCCCAGGTCCTGTGTATTTTTCTTCTCTCGCTTTTTAAAAAATTCTTCACAGAAATCCTGCATCTGAGCCACTAGGAAACTGGTTAGGCATGCAGATTCCAGGGTTCTATCCTCTTAAAGGAGGTCCTAGCTCCTGCACCTTGCTCAGGTGTAAAAATCTCTACATTCCACCAGACCTCATCCCGGAGGACTTTAAGGCCATCTCCGCATTTAGAAAAATGCTCCTAGCCAGTTCCCACCTGCCCACCCCTGCACACAAACTGACAAGCTCTGCAAGATGCTGCCATGTGTGGTAGGGATGTTAAGTAGATCCTTCTGACTGGAGCAGGGTTCAGGGGCCCTGGGCTCGGCTTTCCCCTGGAGCGCACACCTAGCCATCAATTCAAGCATCTCCATAGTAACAGAGGGGTCCAGAAGCCCAGAGAGATGCCTGACTGGCTTTGTGTCTGTGCCCTCCACGCCTAGACTTCCCTGGCTCACCAGGCCTTGTGCACCGGCAGCAGGGCTGTGGGTCCCGAGTGCCTCCTGGGGCTGGGCTGTAGCGAATTTCCCTACTTCTCCCCACCCAGAGCAAACACCTCTCAGCCTGTGGGATGCCGGCTTGGGGTGCTTCTCCTGGAGGATGCTGGGTGAGCAGAGGGCAGAACTAAGCTCTGAGCAGCTCTTTCCAGGAGAGTAGAACCTGACTTCTCTGTAACAGCAGGCGCTCTGCCCTGTACTCTTTTTGCTCCAGCTGAGGCTGGACAGCAGGGTCTTTGCATGGAGCTCTACTCCTAGCCTTCATATATTATTTAGCATCTTCTCAGCCTGCAACACATATATTTTTTTTCTTCTGTACTTTGGGGAAGGGTCTACAGGGTGTTCAGGATCTCACTACTAGATCAGACTTGTAGTGATTCTCCTGCTTAAGGCCTCCCAAGAGCTGGGATTACAGGAGCGTGCCACCACGTCCAGTCTCAATTGCCATCTCAGCACGCCCTGGGCATGGGGCCGGCACGGCAGACCTGAGGATTGAACCCCCAGCCCCTGCGCCTGCCTGCAGGCGCTTGAATCTGCTGGGCTATTTGGCTGGCCCTGCAACACACATTTTTAATTGACTTGTTTTTGAGTCTTCATGCTCAGACCCAGAGCATCACCCCTGCTAGCATTCTCCCAGGGAGCTGCAGCATCAGCCCCCAGGCTGACACTTTTAAACATTTCTGAGTATCATCAGCGGCATCTTAAGCACCACACTACTAGGCTGACAAGTTTCTTTTCTTCTTGCCTGGTCCTGGAGCTTGAGCCAGGGCCCCTGCACTGAGCTGCGTCTCCAATGCTTATTTTACAGTGCTGAGACAGGGTCTCAAGTCCCTTGCTGGGTTAGCTGGCAGGGCTTTATTTTGGTTTGGTTTCACTTTGGTGGTGCTGAGGATGGAGCCTGGCCCTTGTGCATGCCAGGCAAATTCTTTATGACAGAGCTATACCCACGCCCTTGGCGGCTGTCCCCCAGCCACCATTTCAGAGCGAGGCACAGGGCAAACACTGATAGTACCAGATGCTAGGGATGCAAAGACGCAAGGGGTCACCTGAGCCCCGGATTTTGAGCCTGAGACCAGTCCGGGCAACGTAGACTCTTTTTCCAAAACAAAATCAAAACACAAAACCAAACAGAAACAAAAAAACAATGCCCAAACCCTGACGGAAGCAGTGGCCGACACCTGGAATTCCAGTTTCTTAGGAGGCTGAAGCATGAGGATGGTAAACTGGAGACCAGACTGGGCAACCTGGTGAGATTCTGTCTTTTTTAGTTTTTTTTTAAATTTATTTTTTTAAAGTTTATTTATTGTGTGTGTGTGGCCAGCTCAGCCCACCAGGGGGCGCAGCTGGCTGGCATGTGG